ACTAGATCGCAATGAAATCCCAGCAGAGCAGGATTGGTTTTCAATTCGCACCTAGTCAGACAAAAACTGACGAACGATACGGGCCAGGTAGACGCGGTCCCCTACCGAACCACGTGTTTGGATCGTTCATGCGTTGTCGTGAGACAACTGCAACTTATTGCAGCTTTCCGCTCCCAGTGGACGAGAAGCCTTAATATGAAAGAAAGAATAAAGATCAGTATAATTTATTATTTTACTGATCAACAATAATAATTGAAATTATTGGAATCAACTAATACAACCAATCTCATTCAGATAGGAAAATAATTATGTTTTTGACACCTTTAACACAAGGTTACAATGAGATTTTGTTGAATTTATTTCAGTGGGAGGCCCATTTGCACCTGAAATTAGAAAGATTAGCAGTCACTAATAATAGTAAATTAACTTCGAGAGCAGTGGAAAGATTTTCAGTTTTTGAACTGTTCGAGATCATCTGGAAAAAAATGAAGTAGAGACATTTTCGATAATGGGAAGAATTCACTAGTATGTAAAGTTATCAGGACATGTGTTGTAAGTCAAGTATATCTAACGTGTTACATGGTATAGCCACAAAAATCCTGTATATGTGAAGGATATATGCTACGATGATGCAATTGCTGGCTCAAAGATTCAAATGAAAATACAATTATGAGCAGCGAGGAAAATGGCACTCTGTGAATGTTCAAGTGTCGATGAAATGAGGAAGAACAGAAATTCAACAAATAAGGAACTGATTCTTTTGTAAAATTGAAATAATATTGAAATAGTAAAATAACTGATGAATTTTATCATTATATTGGCACAAAAAGAAACACACTGAAACCATTAAACCCAACATACAGTTGCTTAGGTCTAGTCTGATCAGTGAAGTTTGGATGTGTAGTTGATCAGGGAGATGAAGGAACAGATAAGATAATCTATCGTTTATCACTCTCTCCCTTTCTCTCATCTCACCGATCAGGCTAGATCTGAAATACTAGATATAATCTTTAAAACTTGATTCATTTTGTATACGCCAGAATCAGCCTCCAAACGCAATATTTACAATTACCTCTGTCTAATGAAAGAATCTGAAACATCACGAGTGAACACGACGGTGTTTAACTTAAGGGAGTTTCAAATTTCTCACAGATGGAATTTGATTTGAAAACGTCATGGTATTTGCCATCTTAAAGTTTATTACGCAATATTTGCCGCCGGCAGTAGAGTGGCAGTGAAACATTCAGATTCAAAGGAATCAAAACAGCCAAATTCTCTTCACTTTTACTTGAGATTGAAAACCAGTTACTAGACAAATTTATGGACACTTTCGCATATGACATGAAAGTGAAAACTTCTGGTCCCACATTGGACGCCCAAAACTCACAGGTTTTTCAATTTAAAAAAATCTTGAAGGCCATTTGTAACTGATTTTTTAGTTGTTCTCAGGTAAGCACGAAGTGGACATAAAAACAGTGAATGAATAACAATGGTAATCAAGTTTGAATAAATAGAAGAATGAAACAGGAATGTAACAAAAATTACCTAACTAAAATTTTGTTAAAAACATGTACACAATTATTTAAAAAAAAATCTTATGAACATTGTGCACACAAAATAAAAATTACAACTAAAAAATATTACATGCATTACAGTTTCAACTAATCAAAATCAAATTTGGAGTCTCAACCTATTAGAAAGAGCACCACTTGGAAATTATTTGTGAAAACATTTTCAGCAGTCCTTGAATTTGTATTTTGTTATACTAACAATTTGAGAGGGAAAAATTCAATTTTTCTCAACCCCCTTCCCCCTCCGCACTCATATCGATAATGAAAACCAACCTTTTAGTTTTCTTTCAATTTTTTTAATGTTTCGTCATTGAAAAAATATGGGGTTTGAATTAATTTGAAAGTGGCATATTTTTCAAGGACAAGTTAATCTTTTTTGGGAAACAAAGGAGTTGGCTTTATACTTCTCCATCTTAATACAAAAAATTAAAACAATCAATTTCAAAAAAGTAATTGTATAGAAGATTCCTACATTTTCTTTGTATCAAGATGGAAAAATGGAATTTCATATTGTGAATTATTACATAAAAATATTGTTTCTTTTCAATTAGTCCTATTACTCTATTTTCTTTTCTCTCTTGTCAACATAGAATTTGAAATACTGTACATTGAATATTACTGGAGTTTTTTCCCAACACCACATTGTTATTTTTAACACATCGACACGTGTTTCAATCACCAAGTGATCATCTTCAAAGAGGTTTCAGGTTCACTTTTAATCTTCCTCTTTGAAGATGATCACTTGGTGATCGAAACACGTGTCGAGGTGTTAAAAATAACGATTTGGTGGTTGGAAAAAAACTCCAGTAATATTCATTTACTACACTAAAGGTTCCAAACAGTGCATCATAAGTACTGAACATTGAATCAATAACTAAATATAATTTTATTTTTGATAAAGATTAAAATTTTGATTATGAATATCCATTGTTATAAATCATAAAATTTTAAAAACATTAAAAAATGCTCAATAATTTTTTTAAAAGATAAAAAATGGAAGAAATTAATTTGTATGGATACCGTATTATCAAAATAGCGAAATTTTCACTGAAATATAATTACAAATTTAAAAAAAAAACAATATTTTTGTAAAACAATTATTTTCTTCATTTCTCTACCACTCGTAGAATTCTCTATACACCGAGGATATTAATTTTCCTTTCAGACATATTTTAAGAGTAATTTCTTTATTGAAGTTGTTTCTAGAACTACATATTGTTATGGCTATATTATAAATGTATTCAATTATATTGTTTTCGTTGGGCAAAAAAGAAATTTTGGACTATGTTGAAGAAGGATCATTAAACATGTTTACCAACCTCATGACACCAAAGTACACTTTCAATACAAATTTTACAATTAAAGTACCAACAATAAAAAGATGATGAACACTCACCTCAAAAAAAATTTCAGCAGAAACACTCTGTACACAGAAGGGTTGAAAACTGAATATAAGATGGAAACTGTATTATACTGATTAAATTGATGGATGTAGCCGTTATTACGTGGTAGGAAATCATCATGAAAAATGATAATCAAAACTTCCTGTTTTCATACCACTTGCATTTGTAACTAACGCTACTTTAGTTTTGCCCTACAAGGACATTTTCAAATGAATACAATAACAATACAAAAGCAATATTGTATCCTTATAGGACGAAACTGCGGTAACATTAATTACAAATACAAGTGGTATAAAAACATAAAAAGTTCAATAAATTGATGGATGTAGCCGTTACTACGTGGTAGGAGATCATAATGAAAAGAGAAATGAAAATTTCTATGTTTTTTACCACTATTATTTGTAACTAACGTTACTGCAGTTTCTTCCTATATGGACATTCTCAAACTTATACAATAAAAAGTTTCATTTCAGAATTTTCATGTAATATACTGCCCAGGGAGTAATTAACATAACAGCTCCCGACACAGTGAATATATCTCTCTTCCAAGTGAAAGTGTATGCAATATTACAATGTGCAAAGAATATCATTTGAAGGCTACTTGAAACGAGTAGATCAATATTCAGAGAATATTGTGAAGAACTAATAAAACTGGTAGACCAGAACAGATTGATTCTAAAGAGTGTCTGAACACTCAGATATTACAGACAAGGAAATTAAGTGTGCTAGACATGCACCTCGATATTTGCCCTGAACCAGCTGTTGGTGTACCAACATCTATGGTACAGGTCCAGATTAGTAAAATACACATGGAAATGTGCACAACCTTTATAAAAGAAACATCTGAAAAAAATGTAGAACTGTTTCAACAGAGAGGAAATTATCCCAAAAAAGTACTTTTTCCAATCACAAGAAATGCAATACTTTTCTCGACGTGCTTTTTACCAACCAAAATGGTGTCTTCAAGATGACAACGCCAACTTGGTTGGTGAAACGCGTGTCGAGAAGAGTATTACATTTCTGGTGATTAGGAAAAGTATTCGTTTTGGGGTTCCAGTTTTTCCTTTTTACACAAGAAATTAGTTAGTTGTATAAGACCTTAGATGCAGGGAATGCAACAAAGAAATAGAGATAGCTAGCTCATGTTTTATATGAATGTGAGGCACAGGATAACAGGAGAAAAGCAATTTACAAACTAGTAAACAGACAAACATGCAATTAACCCATGAGCCTGCAGTATTTTCTGCAAAATTGTAATAAATGTTTTTACAACATTATAATGGTTTCAAATGGTATGGATCTTGGTGATAGGGGTGTAACCCAAAGACATATCATATTCCTATAAAATATTCGGTTTTGAAGTTAACCTTTTTCCATAAAGAACTGATAGTTATACAATGGATAAATATAATTTTTAGGATATGTTTAAAAAATGAATAAATGTTTTGAATAAATGAAGTAATAAAAATAATAATTTTTCTGTTTTACATGCACCATAGAAGACTGGAAATCATGACTTTATATCGCTACTACTAGTGCAAAAGGTCATATGTAAAAAATGTATACTTTCATATTAGACAAAACAAACTAATCATTTCCTTATTTCATTCCCATCTGCTCTTTCTATAAAATAAAATATGAAAAGTATGTTAATAAATTATAAGACTATAAATCTATGGGAATGAAAAATTTTTAAATAACCTCACACTTTTATTTCAAACAAGATACAAAGTAAAATTCATTTAAAAACATAGTAAACATTTCAACAGATGGTAATTTCAAGTGCTCAGCAGTGAAAATTACCGTATCTGAAATAAACAGTATCTAAAATAATTTTCATTGTTTCTTTGTATAGAACACCTGGAAGTTCATTATTAGTCGTTTTCAAAAATTTTGAAGGATTGATAAAACCAATGAGGTTCTACTCATCACTAGAAATTTTAACATTGAGGTCAAAGAGAAAAATATGGTAAAATCAGATTTGCTATGAAGAGGTAGGGAAATGAAAAAACATTTATGATTTCCTTTTCGAAAAACAGGTTTGAAAAAAAAAGTATTAAGAAAAGTGGAATTTGCCACTGGATGTCCAAGAACCATTTGCACGTTTCCATGACAACAAATAACAATAAATAATAAAATGAGTGAAATAAAAATATGCAGAATGTCAAATAATTTCTTTGCCAAGTATAACATTCAAATCCAATAGTTACTGAGGTCCACTTTTCCTTTGACTAGGCTAATTTCCTATATAGAATTGGTTGATGAATCCAAATTTTTTGATTATTATACTATCCTAATCTAGGTAGAAGTTTTTACCAACTATTCAACCAGATTTAATAATGGCAGTGATTTCATGCTGGTTGCTAAATGGTCAAAACCACACAGTTTCTCTCCACAATTTCATATTTCCTTACAATAACTATACATTTACATAACCTACTGTACACAGTGAAAGACTCTTCACGAAATTATACACATCCATGATCCATATTATACAATTGATTAAGGTAATCGAACCTTTGCAACGAGATCCATTTTTGTCATACCATATAAAAACTTGATAAAGAAGACTTGGGCACGGTCATAACTAAAACTTTTTCAGAAAAAAGTGTGGAAGTATAAGAAATAGTCCAACAGATTAGGTTCTGAATGAAATTTTGTACCTTGCATTCGGAATTAACACTAATGTTTAGTTGACGAAGATGTTATGAGATATCACTGAAAATCAATAGATGACTCTCAAATAATTCTACTCTTCCTTTCTAACCTCGGCATTATGATTATTCAGATTCAACTACTTGTGCGTAATCGATAATAACTGACAAAGTTTAAGAGTTATACATCCGTTAACTTGATTTTTTTATATCAAATATCACATGTTGCTCCCTAGTTTTTATATGGTTTAATTCAGTACATTTTATTCAGTACAGTTCATCTTCTTGACCATTTAAACACATTACTGGTGTTTGTTTTTTTATACAAAGGCTCAAAAATATTATAAATATTATTTTAAATAACAACATTTTATCACGTTTGCTTTGACATGGGCTTACGACGATGCTTTTGTCTTGGAGGCTGTTTCGAGGGAAACAACGAAGGTTTGAGAGCATTTTTTGACGACGGATCCAAATGGGGGATCGACACTATTCTAGTTGGTTTGTACTCTTTCTCAGGCACCCATTCATCTGGAACACTGAAAATAAATGTTCATTGAGAGTCTTGACAAAAAAAATCATACCAGCAAATCTGTGAGAATCTGAAGATTCTATTTGTAATAGAGGATAGTTTCACTTGAATTTAATACTTTGAAAGATAGAACTGGTAGGTATATGACACTGCTGACTTCTTAACTCACTTCTAATGATAACAATTAAATTCTTATTTATTTCTTTCCCGTGAAGGTGCAAGTACATAAACAAAAATCGTCAGCAAAATATAAATCAAAAAACAACATGATGATAAATATTGGTAAAAGTGGTTTTGGTTAATTGGGTAGCGTAATTAGTGTAACATGTTTTCAATAAGTAACCTTCAATCTAGTTTTCAAGATATCAAAGTTCTTCATGGAGGTAATGGATGTATTTAGAGAATTGAAAATTTTCATTGGGTATATAAGTGGGTTGGTATTGGTATCATATATAATGAAAATAGCAATACTTGATGAAAATCCATGATAAACAATCACAATTGTGAGATTTTCACAAAACAGTTTACAAAACCACCACACGTGTATTATAAAACAGCTTGTTCCGGCGGCGTGTTTAATGTATTAAATTTCATATAGAAAAGCAAATATAATAATTTCAATGATGCCAGATGTTTAGAACCTTAATGATAAGTTGAACTGGATGATTCAGAGGATGAAGGAGGAAGCAGGTGAATCTGTTGACAAGTCATACAATTCGGATTCTGAATTACTATATATACAAACTGATATTTACAAATTTTTATAGCCTTGACTTGAAATTTATATGAATAAAAATTGAAAAATCTGAATATGAATACTGATCAACCCTATTCATGAGTTTTATGAATGAAATTTCCTGCAATTTATTTTTAAGTTTTGAAAATGTGTACTTAGAGTAAATTTGTCAAACTGCCAATTCAAGAACACTTTACTGAGGTTCTGGCCTATCATAGGGGAACAAATACCAGGATAAAAATTAAAGACAATTCAATTATGTACAGAACACAGGTACTTTTTATAAAAAAAAATATTTATGCCTTTTTTGCTACTGTGACACTACGTACTAGGTTACCTCTCAAAAAAAGTCACTAATTACTTTCTAATTTTGGCTTAATTTGAAGAGTATACCACTCTACTCCACCTCCTCTCACAAGTACCTCTAAAGGGTGTATCATGCAATATAGGAATCCGACACTATTTCAAATGAGATAATATCACAATTGAATATATTTACCCAACAAAAAAATGTGAATTTGAATCTCACTACAGATGAAATATACGTAATTTTTGGTGCCATATTACTATCCAGCCAATCGAAATGTCCGAATAAACGAATATATTGGTCAAATTGTGATGATGTTCCAAAATTATTGTATAACAGTATGAGACTGAATAAGTTGGAAACAATATTGCACCATATTCATTTCAATGATAATTCATCAATTAACAATAACATGGATAATTTGTACAAGTTGCGACCAGTTCTGTATCACCTGAATGATACATTCAAGAAGCATGGTGGATTAAAAGAATATATTTCAATTTATGAGAGTGTGATCCCATATTATGGGAAACATTACGCCAAACAATATATAAAAGGTAAACCAATAAGATTTGTGTTTAAAAATTGGGCTTTATGTACCAGTAATGGATATTGTATGAGTTTTGACATTTATACCGGAAAGACTTTGAATGTAAACACATTTGAGGTTGGAGGAGATATGGTCATGTCTCTAGTGCAACAGGCAGAAATTACTTCTGATTCAGGCTATAAGGTAGTATTCGATAATTATTTCACAGGAATACCATTGCTCATCCACCTTCGTGATCTAAAGATATGTGCAGATATTGACAACGAGGAACTAGTTTTGGTGCAGCGGAAAGATATTGTATTGTACTTTATTTGTCAATATTACACGACGTAGTGTATTGATAAGTCACTGACTCCAACTAATCCTAAATCTAAATAAATATTATTTAAAATATAGATTGAAATATAGATATTGGATTTCACAGTAATTAATATAAAATTTTCACGACACTAATATTTGAATTCCAAATTTCAAAATTTATAAAATTCATTTCTATGGGTTCAATAATGTTATCAACAGCCAAGTGGCTGATACCATTTTCATGTCAGATGAGAGCTAGGTTAGGTTAGGAAAGCTAAGTTTTCAGATAGATTAAACTTTGGCAGTCCATGTTACATACAATTTCCTGTATGTGGGTGTTGTTTGGCATACAAGTGAACATGTGCACCATTGGTTTGGATATCAAAGTATGAGAAGGCGAAAACCCACATATTAAAAAACAAAAATTAAAGTGTTTAAAGCGTTAAACAACAGAAATAATCAAGGATGATTATGTATATATGCCTAATAATAAGTTCTAGAAGTACCTGGCAGGACCAATAAAATGCAACAATGTGGTTCTGCCACCAGGCATACAGAATTTGAAGGAGTCAAGACATCCTTTGTAAAAAAGGTAAAATTCTCCTTGCATTAATGACGTAAAACAGATTATTTGTACTTACACATCAGTAGGATGCCATCTGAGAAGCAATTTTGTGCTACCATCATTTTCGACTCGTCTCGCTAATATTTGGCTTTTCAAATGGACTGTGTTGCCTGCATCGCTAGCTTTTCCCAAAGTTCTTTTCTGGGTAAGAATTAAAAGTTTGTGCTGCAGACCTTCCATGACTCCCGCATCAATGAAATCGAACATACGAGCTAGAATACAAAATAGATGATAAAATTTCATCAAGCAAGATTTGCATACAAGTAGGGTGAGATTTGCATTGGTTCAATTCAATTTGGAGGTTTTTAACAACACCACCCTGGCAATATCTAAATATATTTGACTGTGTTTATATATGTGTTCTAAAGTTCAAAAGAGTGGGGCAAATAAAATTATAATTTCAAAGCATTGAATAAAAACCAAGATGAAAGAATAAAAACCAACTTGGGCAGTTCATGTTACATACAATTTCCTGTGTGTAGGTATTGTTTGGCATACAAGTGAACACATGCACCATTGTTTCGAAGTAAGAGAATGTGGTTTCAACTAGATTGAAGAAAAGTGAATTGTAGGGAAATTGCAGTTGGTTTGAAGTTCTGTTAATTTTGTTTCAAGTGACTTATGCTAATAGAAGAAACCAACTTTCTTATTCAAATATAAAATCGTCATTATATAGGAATTCAATTCATAACTGGTGCTTTAAAAAACAGACAACAAATTACTTTGATGGCTACCAAGTAAATATGCATATGTTATGAATCTGGAATAATTATTGACAAAATTTATATTTTCCAGTTTTTTATCTTTATTCATTTTCAACTTGGACAAATTATATCAAACTTCAAGGGATTTTATTTTTTACAATGTCCAATAACATGTGATTGAATTTCATTTGAAGGCATTTTTCTATACTATGACGCAAAGCTCCTAATGTTTTGTTAGACTTTGAAGTAGAGTTCATCTAGTTCTGGCAATATAAACATGAATACAGAGTACCACAGCTATAACTTGTAACCACCTCATCTACAAAATCTTTAAAAATCTAAAATGGCTGGGATTCATCGTTTTTTATTTGTGGGAAGTTCATGGCCGGAAATAACTGTGTCAAAGCTATCTTCCTGGTTTGTGGTTTGCTCTATTTTATGCCTGCTATTATCAAAGGCGTTGAGGCAAGCAACGAAATGCTCTGACTGTCCTCAGTCCAGATACTATGCTAGTGGTTGGGGTCTCTGGTTTTATTCCATTGGTACTAGTAGTAATATCTTCGTTTCTATTGGTTGAATTAAGGAATCTGATAGTTGTGCAATTAGGTTCAGGTAGCCAAACTTCATTGACGCTAACTCCCTATTCATATCTGTAGAAATTGTTTCTACATTTCTCAATTTCTATCACCACTCTATATATTTTTGGATAGTGGCTCTGAGTTCTGTTGAGTTCTTTGGTCTCTCCAAATGCCATCACGTGGGTGCCCTCTCTGTGTTCATGTTCCACTTCTGCTTATTTGTCAGTATGCCCCAGTCGACAATTTGTCAACTAACAGTCTGGTTTGTCACATTCATATGGTATTGAGATTAGGGTTTTGTGAAAAAACTCAAGTTTTTATGAGATAAAGTGGGTGACAAGTTTAAGGAGGATCAAATTGTAAATTTATGTACTAACTGTAAGCTTTGGTAAAAATAACAATATATTTTTTATCATATACATGAGTCTACAATACCTAGAAATTAACTTTGTGTAAAAATCCAATCTAAATTGATAACAATTAAATTTATTTCGTAATAAAAACAAGGTTACAAGTGAAGATATGTCTGTGGCTAATATAAAATAAATATTAAATGTAGCAGAAGTGCAAATTCTGTGCTTTGGACTGTTAAATCCTTCCAAGTTCAATTGTTCTGCGTGGATTTTATTTTACAGTCTTATAGTCAGTTCACCTATGAAATTTATTGAAGTGAATGAAACCTGAGAAATTCATTTTGGACTTTTTCAAATTTCTGCAATGAAACATGAGTATCCCCATACCTAATGATTGATGCTAACTTCAAGTTAGGTCTAATTGGTGACGAATAGGAAAGTGTAATTGATTCTACATTATGTATATATTACTATAAATGCATGTATATTTTACAGCCATCTATTCTGATGAATTTCAAAGTGGCTACCACTGTATGTATGCATAAAAATTATGTCAATCAGTGTCTAGTAAGTTTTTAAAACCAGGGTGTATTCAAATGTTCGAAAGATACTGATAATGTCTTTATAAAATCACCCTGCATATATTTGTGAATTTCATGTATACTTACTTGGGCGTCAAATAGTGAAAACAATAAAAGGGAAAATAAAACTACTTTACGCTACCTGACCATGGCTGCCTTCTAAACCTTATTCGTTTCCCGTTCCTCTTGAACAGCTTGCAAGGACCATTTTCTGGTGATTTCTTTGCTGTGTTGTTGTTTGGACTACCATCAGAGTTGAAGTGACCATTCACATGCCTCTCCAACATCAACTGAAGAAAAAGAAACATTCATTTCATTATAACGGTAGTATTTCGAAATGAAATATCAATGTTTCTTACATCACTGCTCTGTTTTATTTACATATGTGAACTAACCGTCTCAAGTGTGTTACCATTTATATTTACCACTATATTCGATCATATTTTGTTGTATAAAGTTTTGAGACATGCTATAAAAATGCAGCTAGGTATAATATATTTTGAAATCTTCTGTTACATTATATGATCGTATATATGTTTCAATTGTAATGAAACCTAATATTTTGAATCATGTATGTGACCATCTTTTCAATTTTTACAAGGAGTGAAAAAAATATTTTCTCATACGTACATTCGATTAGCGATTTATTTTTTTATGTTGGTACACTCGTCTTGAACATATGTTCTCAGTTTCAGCTGCTTAGTTTGTTGGTGAGAGGCATGAAAGTTAAAAGTGTTTTGTTCAGCGATTTTCTGCTATCGAAAAAATGGATCAATGAATTTGCATTCAATTTTGTCTGAAAAATGGAATCTAGTGCTCAAAACACACTTGAAATGTTGACAGTGGCATACGGTGATTGTACTCTGTGTCAGAAAAATGTTTACAGGTAGAACAAGCTTTTCACAGAAGGTCGAGAAGATATGAATGATGACACTGGCCCTGGACATCCCAGCACATCAACAACTAATGAAAATGTTGAGAAAGTGAAGAAAATTGTTATGGAGAATCGTCGAATCACTATTAGAGAAGTTGCTAACAATGTCAGCATATCGGTTGGCTTATGCCATGTAATTTTTTCGGATGATGAGCATCGCTCAGAAATTGTTGAATGACTTCAATGGCGATCAAGATTTGCTTAAAAGGGTCATAACTGGTAATGAATCATAGGTATATGGTTATGACATCGAAAGCAAAGTCTATTCGTACCAATTGGAGAGCCCGGGGGAGCTAAGAACTTGTTTGGCTAATGCCAAACAAGGTCGACCAAATGTCAAGGTAGTTTTCACTGTTTTCTTCGATTACCATGGCGTAGTGCATCAGGAGCTCTTACCACATAGTCATACGATCATTAAGGAGCATTATCTTGAAGTTATGCGCCGCTTGTGAGAAACAATACGAAGAAATCGTTCGGTATTGTGGAAAAACAATTCATGGCTTCCGCATCACGATAATGCACTTGTTCACTCGTCATTGCTTGCTCGCAATTTTTTGCCCAAAAAAAACACTTTAATCATGTCTCAGCCACCGTATTCACCAGATTTGGCCTCCTGCGACTTTTTTCTGTTCCCAAGATTGAAGAGACCCATAAAAGGACAGAGAATAGCTGAGAGAGCTCAAGGACTTGCCAAAAAGTGCATATCAGAACTGCTTTGAGGATTGGAAAAAATGCTGGCTGGCACAAGTGTACTATATCTGAGTGGGTCTACAGTCAAGAAGACAAAATAAAAATTGAAGAATAAATAAATAGTTTTTGAGAAAAATGGAAATTCACCTATTTTTTTAACAGATGGCGAATGTCACATGTCTATCTTCTTCAATCGTTTTGATCTTGGCGTCGATCTGGAATGACAACTGATTCGCCATAGTTGTGAATCTCTAAGCTGCTGCTGATTCTACAGTAAAACGTGAGTTTTATGAATATAGTGATGCCACATTTTTGTAGCGTCCTTTAATGGCCCTTTGTGAAAAAAGACAACAGTGGTATCCAAAGTGAAACATTTCAACTTTATATTGTGACAGAAAAACCAATAGTACATTTTCATTCAAGAATATCTCTTCAAATCCTTAATTGTAAAACCTCTTGAAATATTTCCTAACAAGACTGTACCATGTTTTTTAGCTTTGAATTTTAGCTATCACTTTCAACTTTATATCAAAGTATATCAATCAGAAAAAACAAATCTTATTGACAAAGTCATTGTAGAAGTAATATAAAGTAAAAAAGAATAGAATAAAAGCATTACAGAATTAAATAGACTATGAACTCAACTATAGAAAATGGATAAAAACACCAATATTTAGATATTGTACATCTTTATCACTGAGCATTTGGGAATAGATAAAAGGGTCATGTTTATGATATGCCTTGTTTGAATTGATTACATGATGAAATTTTTTGTAGATATATAATAATGAACCTTTCACTTCAGAGAAATAATTGAAAAAAACCCTCAAGATATGGCTTTTCATTGAATGGGTTCAAATTTCAGATTTATGCCATAGAACAGGCCAATATTGTATAATATCATGAATGTTTGGTTTATATCCCCCAAAATTGAATAAAAAATCATATCTATCAACAACATGAATTCATACATTTCCATTTTTTACATAAAAACCATGAGATCACAGGATACAGAACCAACGCCCACTTTTAAACAGAAGACTTATTTTATTGTATTGTTATTATTAATGAAGATGTTGATTTGTTTACAATATTGATGCTATTGATTGTGTGGGTATCGAATTTAAGGAGAGGGAGGGTAACTAACCCCATGTTGGTCTTATATGCGTACATGGTAGCATAACCAAAATAAGGAATGAAATTTTCCCTGGAAATCATGAAATCTGAACTTTTACCATTCAAGACATTTAAATCCATTAGATTCAGTTTTAATGTTACACTTACACTTCATTTATTGATATCTTGAAACCAAATAATTTGCTCTTGATATATTTCAAAAGAAAAACTCAGCTAAGGTTTGTTGTTGAGAAATTCTTACAATAAATTTAAATTATTAGTAAGATAATACTTTGATAATAGTATCATTATACCACAATTTCCGCGACGAATTCAATATATCCTGCCAATTCTACACATATTTTATGTACCATTTTTCACAATAAATAGTTATTTTTTTATAACTTACGTTTGTTTGCCCTTTATTACAATCCAGAAGATTATCTAATGAACTATATTTTTTCATTTTTCATATTGTGGAAGGTTAGGAACCCAAGAAAAATTACTCCTCTACAAAAAAAAAGTATATCATTGTTTGTACAAAATTCATTATTGATATCACTCATTCAAGGCTAATCATATGATAATGAAGTATCATATATAAAGAAAGAGATAAATTGTATAAAAAATTGTGTAAGGCTGATAGACTTTCCAAATGGTCAGATTTAAAAAGAAGAAAGAAAGAAATAAAGTAGACTGATAAAAAAAGGTCAATATTATTTTAATACAATTGATAGCTACAATAAATAACCCATTTATAATAAAAAAATAATTCTAACCTCGAAGTGCTATTAGCAAAATGTCTAATGTTCTTAGACAGTAAAATAATTATCTGAGACTCAACAAACTATATTTAAATTATTCAAGAACATCACACCATAGAGATTATCAATTTCTCAATCAATACTGTCTCTAATGAATTTGTCACTTGTGTCAAATATTCAGGTTTTTCAATTAGATAATAATTTATCATTCAACCAGCATGTCGAATTTATTAACAAAAAACTGTCTAACAACATCTTCTTTTTAGCGAGTCATTTCCAATCTTTCCCTTGAAACAATAATTATATTGTTTATAGTATTATTACGCCTAATTTTCATTATTGTTCAACAGTCTCATGGAATTTCAATTCAAATGAATTAGCACAACCACAAAAACTTCAGAATCGGGGAACGCGAATCGTTTCAAGATGCAATCGTTATATACCAATAAAGAGTATGTTATCTACATTTTGGTTTAATGTGGCTCAACATTGATATGCATATATGCAGGGTTAATAACACCAGTCATATAAATTATATTTTTTAATGCTTCAATAAGTTTCATAATTTGCTTATTGCAAATTATATTGTGATAGGCTGTATAATGTAGACAACAACGCCATATTTTTTTAATTACATATTAAAATCAAAGTATCACAAAGGCTTTACCTGCGAGTTAAATCTTTGGCCGCATCCTTCGACAATACACCGGAAAGGTTTCGTCCCAGCATGAGCGAGAACATGCCTCTCCAGCCACGTCCTTGAGCAAGAAGTTCTTCCATGAACTTTACAGCCTAACCACAAGCATACGTAATGCTCCTGGCTTGCTTGAGATATCACATGTTTAACCTGTAAAATATATATTATTGAATTTGAAATAATTCTTATTCATTTACATATCTTACTTATTAATTGAAGATCATTGAATCATCTATTTGATTTTCTCAAATATAAATAGAAAATGTTTTTCATAATAATGCTTATTCATGAACATGTAGAAATCCTACTCATAAATGCATATATTGGCAAATAACTCTCAGTAGTATCATGTAAAAAATTGTATTTATGATGTAGCCTATTATTTCCATGAATTAAAAAGTCTGACAGGAGCTTGAAAAATGCATCCCAGTGAATTTGAATAAAGTTGGCAAACAACTAGGCCTCACATTAGTAAACAATTTTTCACCATATTTGGTGATTCATATAGTTGGAGTTCATATAGAAAAAAAATTATTTTCAGTTTGAATTCTTCAGGTGAAATTACCTTGCAAGCAATACGCAATACGAATTTTGGTGGTCCTCATTTTGGCATGTTGATTGAACATTTTGGTCAATCCATTTAGACAAATTTAATTTTTTTATTGAAATTCATCATGCCTATTGACCAGAACAATCTGTACCAATGATGACAATCATGGGAAATAGTACTATGATATTATTCAAAAAGTGGATTTGGGATACTGTTAGATTGAATTTTGGTATACCATCATAATATTGATAGATCTTGTTCGTCTCCATAAAAATTAATTTAGATTTTCAGGATTCGTTTGCAAATACACAAAGAAGCTCCAAAGAATACATGAAAGCCACTTCTCAAAAGCCCAAGGTAATGTTAAAAGTAGCCACCTTGAAACTATCTGTTTAACAGATAAACATTCTTATTATTTTGACCATCATTTTCTCAGTATCAAATTATTTGTGTCGTATGCGAGTTTTGTCAAAGAATATGAATATTTTGCTGGAGATTAAAGTTCCTTTATTTTGACAAAATCGAAAATTTTTATTAATAAAAGTATGTTTGTAGATCATTTTACTTGAAAATAGGTCTAGAGAATTTTCTTGCTCGACACTATGTCATAATATTGAGGTTAATATGAGAGTATCGCAAAAATAATAAATGTTTAAAAAGTCTTCTGTACCGAAGGTTGATTTTATTTGTTTCATAATGAAATAAGCTTTATTTAGATTTGAACAAACACTTTCAATATGTCTGTTTCAATTTAGACTCTCATCTAAATGGGTGCCAAGAATTTTGTATCAGAAGAGGATTGGATATTGTCAATAATGGAATGCTCATTAGGTGACATTTTTTGGTGGAATAAATTGATTACTGACTCTGAAATATTTAAAATTAGCTTAACTCTCTAGTAGCATGACCTTTTTTAATTCAACTATAAACTGTTATGCATTTTTATCAGATGTCATTATTGTTGTTTTCGGCAAACATGAACATCATCTAAATATTGTGTGGGATCTTTATATATAAAAGAAATATTAAAAGGCCAAGAAGTGAACCATATGGTATACTGTAGCTTGATCATGTGAAATACAGTTATTGCATCTTACTACCATTGTTCTATTTGTCATATATTATTTCATATAGAACAATATATTAAAATGATACTAGTTGATGAAGTCTATATATAGAGTTTATGAGTATTTTGATGATGCTCTCTGTCTCTTGATATATTTTGATGAACCCTCATTCCTATCAGACGATGTGGTCTCTTCTCTGCCAGTGTTGAGTAGCAAATGGTTCCTGCCAAACATCCTTTATAAATTATTTTCAAATTTAATTTTTTTTACTATCAAGCTGTCTCTTGCTTGTGCGAACCAAAAGTGTATAGCATTAATGAATTTTCTTCTTTTCTTTTCTATTTATCTTGAAATGAAATCAACTTATCATAGTCAACTTTTCAAATGACTTTTGAGATGGGACTAACCAGTGAAATTGCCCTCGATTTTCAATCATTTCCTTATCTCCATTTTTGAAAACTGGTATTGTACAGAAATTATGTTTTTGTGATTTAAGATATTGCTGATAATTTCGTGCTCACTATAGGCATGATTGAAGAAATTTATACTATTGTCGTTGAATGCCTTACCTGCAAAAATTTTCAGAGTTTCTAAAGAGCGTTCCAAAATAGTTTGAGCTACTGGAATGATCTGATACCATTCTCTCTATATTTATCTGATACCATTTTCTATATTTAATGTGATTGGTTCAGAATTGGTTTTGTTTTTATTAATCTTATTATTAACAAATTTCCAAACATTCTCAGATTCATTTTATGAATTCTGTGTTTAGAGAAAAAGTTTTTTATTTGTTAATTTCATTAACATATTTTTCTTTCCCAATTCATATTTTTGAGGGATGGTTATGGGTCCAATGAACCTTTTTCTACGAAAAATCACTCACTAGCAGTGCTAGTAGTTTGATAGGGACAAACACTGCTTAATCCTCATATAAACATATGGTAAGTTTTTATCGGAAGATGTTCCTGGAGCAAAACTAAAATTTGAAACTGTAAAGGATAACAATGTTGTGACATTAAAACGTTGGCTTGCATGCTGTAATTTAAAGGTAACTGGAAAAAAAAGGGAATTAATAGACAGGTTAGTATACAGACTCTAGTAAAAGAGTAGCGGTAGATTCAAACTGTAATAAAAGAACTGTTTTACATGTGAATAGTTTATGTTTGTCCCTACTACTAGGGCTGCCTCTCGTGACACGTTTGCTGTACTATTCTCAGGAAAAAGGCTCATTCCATTTACATTCCGAAAGCAAATTATTATAGTCAGAATCCGTTAGTTGAAATAATTTCATCAAGTTAAGAAAAGTATATTTTTTTACTGAATAGTTCTAAATCAGTTGATCCAGTTATCATGTAAAAAAAAGATTTTTCAAATGAAGATTTTCCAAAAATGATTAATTGAAGAAAAGTTCAAGCTTAACTACTAATCATTGTATAATTATCAGATAATTATAATGAGTCATGTAAAGAGATGTTGCCATATATTATATCACTAGAATTTTATGGTATTAGGAATTTTTCATACCACGTTTCTCATGATAATTTTGATATGATAATAACTGACCATGTGCAAGTACACCTCATTTCAGGCCTCCTTTTTCCAAAGACATTTTCACAAAGGCAATATAACATTGTACCCCTTCCTAGAAACAAACACCGTACCTAATTCTAGAGTCTACTCGAGCACAATAGATACCGATTAACTGAACTCCAGTCAGGTGTTGGCAATGATTATTCCATTTCAGGAATTGATCTAGAAAAAAACCTAAAAACTTGACATTACTATCATCATTTGAAAAAAAAAAACAACCTGTTTTTATGACTGACACAGTCAAACGCAAGGCTCAAATCACGCAGGAGTACTGCCAGACATTCACCTGCATCAGCATGTGTAACAATTTGATTTATAATTATTTTTCTTGACAAAATCCATGTTGCTTTTTGGTTGAAATAGAATGCTGATTCAAAAATGATTGAAGTCTATCCAGAAAAACATGTTCAAACAATTAAAAAAGACCATGTAATAGGATGATGCATCTTCTCGAAGTCATGTCTTGGTTTTCAATTATAGAATTACTTTCCGTTTTTTTTTTCTTGGCAGCTAACAGACATGTTCAATAATAATATATAATACTTTATTACTGAATGTGCAATTATCTCTGAATAGAAGTATTGTGGAAACGTAATTATTGAAACTCTCCTATTTATGATGGTATCAAGATTGGAGATGATCGAATATTCTCATAGAAGATATAGACCAGTGGTCAGGCAACCAAGGCCAGTCTATTACAGAAACAGTTCAGGAAAACTTCAATATGACTGAAAGACAACTCACCTGTAGATGTTCTAATAAGGCCCCACTGGTTTCAAAGCGAGAACTACACTCGGCCCATCTACACTGCCCGTCAGCTGAATGCTGGGTCGACTTTCCATCCACCTTCTCATTCCGTTTGACCGGAAACCGAATCGTCTTCGGTTTCGACAGTATCGGCGACTTCTGCTGTTCTACAGTCACAGATTCACTCACACTAACTTCCAACAACTCGAAGCACTCTTTGTTCGATACTTCGCTCGATATTCCACTGTCGGAATCGGTTGGAGTGGGCGACGGATCGTCTGTCCGGAAGATCTCTTGTCGCTCCTCCGTCCGATGCGGTTCCTCAGTCCGCGAACTCTCCTCGGTTCTGCACTTGTTCTTCACATTTTCCAAAGGGGTTTCGCCCCCGTTCGGAGTACTGTGATGCTTTGGTGTTAAGAAGAGGTTTGGCGTTATATTGCTTTCGTTTAACTTCGGCTTGGCCGAGAGCACTGTTGGTACGGCCGTTTCCAAGCTTAAGGCTACATTCGGTATTACGTTAGGTAGGTTCGGTGGTGTTGCACTATTCGATAGATTGGCGGACCCGTTAAGACGCGAAGGCAGCGTGTTGACTTTGACGATAGGCACTACCGTTGCATTTAATTTGACACAATTGAAATTGTTGATGGTGGCGATCTTCTGCACCGGCTGGATCACATTCAAGCAAGGAGTTCGGTTGATCATCGGCAAAGGCAGCTTATCATTAGCTATGGTCGCAAACTGCGGGACGAATATAGGAGCATCCGGCGGCTTGGTGGCCTTCGTGTGCAGATACGTATAGTTGGGAGGAAAGCTCAGCGCCGTCAGGGTCACGGTAGGCGTAAACTTGGCTATGTTGTTCAGCTGTTCGCTTATGCTCATTTTGTCCGACATGTTACTAGGGGCTGGCAGAATTTTTCTAGGAACTGTTACTGGAGCGAGTTTCTTCGGTTTCGATTGCACACCTTTGCGCGTACTGGGCGTTTTCTTCGCTTCCTTGCGGGTGTTTTGCATTTTGAGGCTGTTGAATTGTGTTTGTTGATCGACTAGGGAAACTTTTCGCTTCATCTCGGCTTGCTTTACGAAGTTGAAGAGATCTTTTTTAATACCTGTAACAGGAACAAACGTAACATTTACTAATCTAAAAAAAGTAACATTTGAGAGTTTTCAAAAGACTTGTCAAAAGGACAACTGAGGCAATATTTTCCTCATGAAGAGGAGTATTTTGATTCGACATGAAAAAGGAAGTTATTATAAAGTGACAAGAAATGTTTTTCATCATAGATATGAACTTGTGCGCTTCCAAAACAGCAAAAAAAAATGAATCAGGCATTTAGCAATAATAGTGTTAATTAACGCACTGTACGTCGGTTTGCGAAATTTCGTTTCGGAGATTTTAGCCTAGAAGATGAGCCCCGAAGTGGCCGATCTATAGTAATCCAGAACGAAGATTTGAGAACCCTGGTGGAGACTGACCCATCACAAACGACGTGTGGGATGGCGGAAGAACTGGGCGTCGGTTCTCATGTGGTTTTTGATGGTTTAAAACGTATTGGAAAGGTCGGAAATTGAATGATTGACAGAAATTGTCTCATTACGAAATATATTCTTCTTTGCTTTTGCGGATCGTCAGGTGTGATGAAAAGTGGATCCTCTATGACAACAGGAGACGTTCAGGAAAGTGTTTGGACACCGATGAGCCCCTTAAGCACTTCCCAAAGTGCAAAAGCCCACCAAATAAAGACCATGATTATTGTATAGCGGTCAGTAGCTGGTGTGATCCACTATAACTTTCTGCAACAGGACCAAACAGCAGAGTTCTATTGTGAGGAAATCGACAAAATGTACCGTAATTTGCGTCAGCAGCCACCAGTACTGTTCAGCAGAAGAAATCCAATCCTGCTCCACGACCACGTCCGTCCCGCATGTTTCACAAATCACAGTCCGAAAATCAAACGAATTGAGCGTTGAGAGTTCTGCCTCATCCACAATACTTCCCAGACCTCTCGCCAACCGACTACCATCTTTTCAAAATACTTGGAATTGAAAAAGGCACTTCATTTATAAGTGAAACAAATAAACTGAATAATTATAATGAAGTCGTTACCAGACAAACATTCAATTTTTTCAGTCCGATAATAGTTGTAAAACTGCTACCTAACCAGATTTTCAGAAATGTCACACTTCTTTCATTTTTCCCTCACAGTCAANGTTCACGGCTCGTCTAATATAATCAATTAGCATTTTGGAAGTAATTATAAAATACCAACAAAATAAAACTGTTGCAGCACCATGAAATTATAAAACAATTTTGCTGATTGGGAATGATCTATTTTCTGAGAAAAATAACCCCTGAAGAAAATGTGAAATCCTCATTAAAATAAATTTTTTTTTGCAATGTTGCTAGGTATATACTTTAGTAGCCCATTTTCAATAATAATTCTTCTCAAATCTTATACTGATCCTAATCTCTCGAACAGTTTATGAGGTGCATTCTATACTTCACTTGTCTTTGGCCACTTGATACATACTTGATAGCATTTATTTCTAACATTTTTTACAACAAATACTTGAATTCCGTTTTAAATCTCTTCAGGTGGATCACTGTGCACTCCTGTAACCCTAAAAATAACTATAGTTATATAAACGGTAATAATGCCGACCTGTTCAAATCTTCTAGAGATGTAATGTCCAAATGAAAGAGTCTGGTAGACTGATCAGAAACACATGACTCACGAAACGAAACTAACATCATGAAACCATTTGATAAACTGATGATAATTGGGGAAACTAGGTACAGCTTTCAAAAGATTTCTGAAGGTATTAGGAGTAGTTAATGCCAGGTCTTTTCTCATTAGATTCGCAGGTATATAAACGTTGAAAGATCTGTGAATAATAAACCTTTGTTTATCTAGAAGTTTCCATATTCTTGATTTTTCTGAGAATTTTAAACTCAGAGACAGGGTTGCCAAGACGGTAATGCGATACAAGGTAATTTATTTATTTATTTAGAATAGTGACAGAAAATGTATGGTGTGTCAATACTTTTCAGCAATACTCTAAAGAGCATACACTTTTTCAAATGTTTTTGTCTGTAAAACTTCAAGTAGTTGATTTTTGATATAGTTATCTTCAAAATACAAATTGTTATTTCATATTTCCTCGAATTTTTATTCGGTACTTCGATTGAAGTGTCGCGAATGATAGGAAGCGTTGTCAAGAACCATTACACTATTCGCATCCAAATTTGGGATCAATGTATTTTCAAGCCATTTCTCAAAAGTATTAACTTTCATGTTCTTATGATAGTCAACATTGCAGTCCTCAAGTTTTTTTCCACATACTTTTAAAGAATTCGGAACCCATCCTTTACTTCCTCCGCCATGCACAATGATTAGTCGCGATCCTTTGTTTGCACGCATGTTAGGCGTACACATTCTCGAACCATTAGTCCACCCTTTCGCAACTGTGTCGTGAGTGTCATACGAAGTTTCGTCCAAATTGCTGTTGTTCTTGTCTATATTTAGTTATTTCCAATTCTGAAGAGTTTTGTCACAGCAGCTCACGTTATGGCACTTCCGGCCATTCAATTCAATTTCTTCCTTATGATTTCAATTGTAGGAATCACAGAATATTTGATACCCATATTATGAGAGTGCATAAAAAAATTAATCCGTCATCTTAGTCGGTCCGTTATATAGAATGAAGAATGACTATATAAGTCCATAAACTGGCACAAACTAATGAAAATAGAAAGATATGGCTCCTTCTCCGAACAACCCTACCCACCTTTTAGTGAATAATTGTTTTTATTTTCTAAATTCACTATTAGTGAAACACCCCATGGTATTTTGGTTAATTTCATATATAATTTCGTCAGTACTTCATCAATCATTCTATAAGAACATATTTTTATATGCCATTTTCCAACTCTGAAATCTGGCAATTGAAATTTTCCAGTATGGGGAACATTGGACAGAGCTATTTCCAATTCACTCAGTCTAAAATATTAAGTGCCTACAGTTTATTAGTTGTGAAAAAACTAAGTATGTGTGTATAAAAGAAATGAAATCGTAGGAACTTTTCGATAAAAAGATGTACACAGTTGAACGCTGTGAAAATCAAAAGAAATACCAACGACTCGCGTTTGTTCCGCTATCTCTCTTCGATGTACCGAGTGCAAGATATTGTAATGAATCTGAAGCCGACCCTGACCAATGCCCCAGTCAGCAAACGCATGTCTGATCGCGAAACAGCGGGAAAGATGTGGATGGGTCCCGAAATCCACAGAGAAATCCGGAACGTTCGTTGACGATATAAAAAGGTCGCTCTCCGTCCCGAGGAGTAGTCTGTACTTAGAAAGTGAATCGTACGTTTAAAGAAAGGAATCTAATTGTGAAGATAAATTAAGCGTTAGCTACTAAGTGTTGTACATAAATTAGTTGTGATAGTGGAATATTGTTAAAAATAAATTTGATTAAGACAGTTAATTCTTTAATTCGTTACAATATCATCCAAATAAGGGCTCTCGTTAATTAAATAAACGTTAACTGTTTTGTCTCCCTTTTTCACTTGTAGAATAAAAGGATGTTACATAAGTATGTGTTCAATCGCGTATTTTGTTGATGACGCATGTGTATTATGTTATCGTTCCAACTGTATACTACATACATACATAGAACCATTGCAAGTTGAATAAAAGTTTCAAGAATAATTTTGAAAAAATATATATTTTTTCTCATTTTGGGAATATCGATGTTCAGTAGATGCAGTGTATTCGATAACAATAACCAACTCCAAATACAACTCCCTGAAGAATAGATCGTCAAGTGCATTACTGGGCATCAAGAACTGAATATTCATATAAGACTTGAATCATTGGAACAATACCAAATGATTGCATCATAATGTTTCCTTTTTCTGCTCCATAATTAAAAACCTGAGAGAACAATGGCTCTGCAATATCGATAAAGAAACTGTGTTACAAAGGATTTGTCGTCAGCAAATATACACCCTGTTCGTCTGATAAAACTCAAATGCAAATTAGGGTCGAGAAATGATCCCTCTCACAGTGCTCATTGTAGACCCCCTAACCCAAATACAAACTTGTCATCAAAATGAGTGGGGTAGTTACCCTCTATCGAAACTAACTTTCACAAATGAATTCGCATGAAAAATAAATCTCAGATTTGCGACGAAAAATTTATAATGGAGTTAGTAACGAGGTTAGGAATTCTAAACGTAGTTTAGATTATACCTGGCAATAATAAAGTTTAACGTTTCATTGCAAAATAACACTAGGTAGGAAACGACGGTAGAAAAAACTAAATGAAGCTTGGAGCTATGATTAGATCCAATTAAGACTTGGTATTTAGCTAAGTGTAAATATATCTCGAAATATATAATGAATAGGAATGAAGTTCAGTGTAGAGACAGTCACTGAAAAAATCTTCCAAAATAATCAACAAATCATTTCAGTTTGTAGTGTTTGTAGACTTTACAGTCACTTGTTTGTGATGTATTTATTATACTGTGTTATTTCCTGCTCTGTAATTGGGCTATGTCCTGTAAAGTATTGTATTACAAATAAATAAATAAAATAAAATAAATGTCTCCTGATATTTTACGTTATACTCCGTTGAGCTTATATTTTATGTACCCGCTATTAAAAAGTAATCCTGAATTACAAATGTTCTGGTCTAAACCACAACCCAAAAATCATCATTTGTGATCCAGCACCAAACAGTACTGTTGCGACCCGCCAAGGTATCATCAGTAGTGCTAGGCTGAAACAAATGCATTATTGGATTCAACTGTTTTCAGAGGACAAGCCAGAGTAACAAAAGACGATGACATCTCGCCTCACGAAGCCGCCATCTATGAAATCGACAAAAGATTCAATCTACGAATATAAAACATGAACAAGACTCCTCAAGGGGAGTCCGTTACAAGGCCAAGCTTCAACATCTACCGCCGAACGTAGATTCTACAGTATCAGACCTTCATTGTAGATAATTTAATGATAACTAAAAATATAATTTATTTGAGTAACACTTTGTGAGATTTTCACTGGGCAGTTTATAAAACCGCAACACGTGTTTCGCTATACAATAGCTTTTTCAAGCGTCAGTATGAAATGAAGCTATTGTACGCTTGAGGAAGCTATTGTATAGAGAAACACCTGTTGCGGTTTTGTAAACCATCCAGTGAAAATCTCACAATAAAGTAATACTTGAATAAGTTATGGATTTTCATCAAGTATTCCATTACATAAAAAAAATTATCAATTTTATCGTAGCTTCTGTTAGTACCCGATTCATTTCATTTTGTATATAATGTGTAAACATTATGATTTTCATGCCAAATTTTTAGGAAAATATGACCTTTACGAACTTTTTTTGAGAAATTTATAATAAAAAAAACTATAGCTAATTAAAACTCAATTAATACAGTTTATTGTATGATTATCACTTCAAAGGGTTTTACAAAAAATGCGACACATGTTTTGCTATACAATAGCTTCATCAAGCGTAAACAGTTTACGTTTGAGGAAGCTATTGTATAGCGAAACACGTGTCGCGGTTTTTGTAAAACCCTTTATAGTGAAAATCATACAATAAACTGTATTGATTAGTTTTAATCTGGATTTGGATCAAGTATCAGCCAGTTCTATTCAATTATTATAACAAATTTTTCGTTATATCGATAGTTCTGAAAAAATGTTTTATTAAACCTTTCTCTTCAAATTAAAAATTAGATCAAGATCCAAATATACGAAATTTACCTAAATCATTGCCTTTTCAAAAAAGAAAAAGCCATTATCTGCAATACATTATATAATTGACTAGAATGTTTATATTAAAAAATATAATTACCTTTCGATTTGACTTCCGATTTGAAATACTCCGTGATCTTCCCTTGCTGCAGTTTCGCCGCCTCGCACTTCCTAACCTTGAGGTAATTAACCGGACTAGCTGAGGATGGAACGATCTTGACGAAATGTTGCGGACGCGCCTTCGAGGCGCTCAGGCATATCGGCGTTTGTTTCTTTTTGAGGGCGACAGATTTTTCCCGAATGTTGGCCCTCTTGCAAGGGGGTTCCTCTGAGAGTTCGATCCGATCGCATAACACGGGGGGTTCTTCTACGGGGCGTTTGCAGAATGCAGTGTCTTTCGGGTGAGTGGCGGCTCTGTCTTGCGGGGCGACCCGCTTGCAGGAGGGGGCCTCGTCGGCGGTCCACGGCCAAGGGGGATGATGTGCAGTTGGCGTGGGGGGCATCTTAGCTGGTTGCGGGCCGGAGTCCTCGGAATGACTCGACGCTGTGCTGAAGGGAGACCCGGGTTCGGTGATGTCGCTCGAAGCAGTACTGCTGGCGCTGCAGTCTGTACAACTCAGTACTGCCACACCACTGGAAAAAAATGTTGAGTTGTAGCTTCAATTTTCATTTTTTGTTGAACTGAATTGGTTTCATAGGAAAACAATCCAAACAATCCAATAGACCACATAAGTTAACCGTAATTCTACGACTTTTTCGAGGTTTTTGAGGTAAAATGCGGTCTATTGACTTGTAAATGTATCGAGAAAAATCAGCGTAAAATTGGTGGAAAATCAATATAGTTTAAATTTATAAACATGCCATATGAAGGAGTTGATTTTGCCTTAGCAAAATTCATCAATTATTTATTTTCAATCGCCATTAAATTTTCACTGTCCACACAGACGACGGGCGATAATTTAAATGTTAATGAGATTACTCCCACTTCTAAATGCATTTTTTTCAAATAAAAAAACTGACCCTGAAAAAAATTGTTGGAAATTTCAATTTGTTTTTCGAATCTTATGCACTATGTCTGCTATAATGGTAAGCTCCGACTAAATAGGTCAGTAGAGTAGAGGTAGGTGAAAAATTATTGCAAACCATAAAGGTATAATCAAAACACCTAGAATTGGATTTGAAATCAAACTTTTCCTAGTAAAATCATTAAACTATTACAAACAAAAACCATACAGTTTGATAGTTCACATTTCTTAATGGAAAATGATAGACGAATTCTCAGAAATATTCTAAATCATTAATCATATTATCATGATATGCTAAATGATAATCGAGGTCATAATAGTTAAGCTGGCCGTTTTTGTATCAATATAAACCTTCCAGGGCCGTATCTTTGGACAGCAAAGGGGGCAAATACACCGCCAAGAAATAGATAAAAACAGAAAAAAGGATTTCAAACACATTATTGTGTTACTGGGAATTTATTGAAAAAAACATTTATAAAAGCCTTGATTTGAGACGTATAAAATTGACAAAGTATCCCCCAGGAATATGTCACAGACTATTCCTATCAACTCCTTTTCGTTTTTTTCCAAATTGAAGAATCAAGATTGTGAAAACGTCGGTAAAATCCACTTTTACACTGGTGACACATACTTTCAACCTAAAATTATTATATTGGAAAGACGTTGGTCATCTCGTTCAGTGGAAAATCAGTCTGCTCAAATTTTTTGGATTGTTATGATACGCATAGATAAAAAAATGCAACAACTTTATATCCGATGCAATATTAAAACATGCTTTCATGCATTTCATTCAATTACACCAGAAACGACAAACATTGAAACTGTAGACGTGATCATTGCTATAAAGTTGATGACTGCTATTGAAGAAACATGTGAAAAAATATAAAATTGAAATAATCAGTAAGTAGGTGAAATGATATCAAAATAAAAAGTAACTGAATAAACAAACGTATTTAATGGCACTACATACAATAACTTCTTGAGACGTGTCTTTACTAATAGTACAGAGTAGAGACAACTAGGCACTGGAGCTGTGGAATCCATTCTATAGGCATTATATAGTCGGTTTTGTAAACTATTAAGTTTGTGAAAATATCACAAGAGTTGAAGGGGTTATATTTTTTAGGAGTGATTAATTTTTGGGAAAAATCACAGGAGTATTGTTGAAAACACGTATCATCTATCATAAATTATAGATTGGCGACGGTCACCATAAAAAAGAATTCAGTATCTTATATTTGACTTATACAACCGCTTGGAAACTGATTCGCAAAATCCATCGTTCTAATTTCAACAAGAACGGTGACAAATATGAAAGCTTTCAAAAAGTAATAATAGTGACGAGAGAAGTGACCCTTCTTACTGAAAATGGAACACCATGGTTTATTCTGCTCTTTCAATCAATACCGTTCAGTTTCCAGACGATGGATGCTGTTAGTATTAGAAATTTGCCTACCACATTCAGGATAGATAAAAGTTAGAATAATGTTGCAATGAGCAATTTTAGGAGAATATATGGTGAAGTCGTTAGGAACCGGAAACCTTCTAGAAGGTTAGGAAGACTCCGATGAAATTAGAACATTACCAGCAAGTCCCGAAATGGGTACACTTCAAAATCTCAGGAGATTGTAAAGACTACAGCTGCTGATAATTACCGTAACGGAGCTCGCCGTATGTCTACACATTTTTGTTTCCATAGCATTTTCTAATTCTTGAACAGCCCAGATTTGGCTCTTTGAGACTAATGATGGATATTTCTATAAATCAAGACCTAATAAAGAGCATCACAAGATCGACTGTGAAAGTAAATGGCAATTTCCCCGAAAAAGATAGCTTAAACAAATTTAAAAACTAAAGAGGTTCTGATAGCCTTACAGATTTTTTTATGAGTTAGGCTCATTTCGCTAGCAAAACATAACCACATAAAACATTTTCTTGTATCATTGATAAAAATTTGATTGAACTGAATACTTTAGTGACTAGCGCAAGCACATATGGCAGAAGCGGAATTATTTTTTGAAAAATGTAGGATAGAGAAATTTTTTGAGAATTTAAGGCACGATTCAAGTTTCTGAACCCCCTTTTAACGATTTTTAAAGAGTTTGGTGTTTTAATCATTGGATTCTGCTAGCTTTACCATTGAGCAGAACCAAATAGAAATACTTTATTTTTTGGAGCTCAAGATGAGCCCAAAATTATTACAAGTTCAAAATTTTCAAAAAGTGAAGAATTTCTATTTGATTCTACCAGCTTTAACGGTATAGCTAAAAGAACCCACAGAGCCTAAAATTTTTGTGTAGTTTGATTCAACTTTCTGCTAGCTCAACGTTAAGCTGGCGGAACCCAAGATATATCCGCTGAATGGACAGCAAAAATTGTTACCAAAATAATGGCCTGAAAATGAATGTGAAAATCTAAGTGGTTCTGCCGGCTTAACTAGGGAGAAATAAACCAACCGACTAAAGTGGTATATAAAACATCAATTTATTAAATTAAGCTCAATAATATATAGGTACTCACTTATATTTTTGTTAAAGTGTGTTGAAATCTCGGTCGAAGACATTTGTTTTTTAGAACAATTGTCTGCAACGTAATTTCGTCCGAAAAATGTAAACTAATTTTTCCCTCACAAGTAACACGAATAACAGGGAATTCTGAATAATTGAAGTTCTACTTCAATTCATTTTAAAAGTATTCAATTCCAGTTCAATTTTTCAGAAAAACAATAATAAAAAAGTAACTATTGTCTAGAAAATCTGAACAATCCGACAACCCCGCTTTGAAGAGCAGACGCCGGATACCTACCGCCCGATCGGTGCTGCCATCTGAGTTCTCGGAGAAATAAATACCTCATTGAATGGGTTTAGTCATGCACGCAGTCAGCTGAATACAATGACCTGTTGTTTTAAATTGTTAGGTTACGACATACTTTACATTTTATATTTTCAATGCGCTATCGAGAGTTGACTTCCTCCGTCGGTCGCATCATTTTGACGTTGAATATGACGTCGGCAGCGGCGATGTAGAGTAATAGTAGAATAACTTGTGCTTGATTTCGATACCGTCGGATGCTTCCATTTCGTCACTATCGCGGTAACGTTAGGCGGGTTCGGTTTTTTACGGGAGTTGTGGTCGATTTCAGAATTATTGAATAATTCCCCGGAAATTATAATAGTGTGGGGAAACGATATGATTTAAAATGATCAGAAACGTCAAATATAGTCTGGTTTACGACTGTCACTTAGAGGAAAATATATCCTCCAAGAATGAAAATAACGAAATAGGTAACTTTAGATTCAAAATATCATCTACCTACACAAAATGAAAAAATGACAAAAAAAAGCTTTTCGTTTTTTTGCAAATATCTAAAAAACTATTTGAGACATCTTAAATTTGAAAAAAAGTCTTGAAGAGAGGAAATATCTTTGAAAAAAGTCTCACGATGAGAAAACTAATTTCAATTTTGAGAAACTTAGGTTCAAAACAGATGACGGCAAATATCTCGATCTCGAACCCTATTTGAGACATCTTAAATCCGAAAAAAAAGTCCTTGAAGAAAGGGGTAATTTCCTTAAAAAAGTCCAGTTTTACGAAGAGAAAAATAATTTTAATTTTGAGAAAGTTAGGCTTAACAAGGGTAGTGACAGATATCTCAAAGACTAGTTTTAAACATCCGAAATCTGGAAACAGATACTTGAAGGGAAGGAAATTTCTTCCGAATCAGGCACTTGAACAGAAAAATATTTGAATAATTGAATATAAACATTGAGGATAAAATTGGGTATTATCTACACGTATGACAATAATAATCCATCAGCAATCAATAAACTACTTAATTAAGGATCAAGTAATGAAAACCCTGATAAAAAAATTCAACTTCCTATAGAACACTTTTGACAATTATCAACGTGTAAAACTATAAGATCACACACTACACCACCAGTTTCGCTAAAACTATAGAGACCGACGTAAAGCTTGACGTTATGAGAGACATAGCACATATCTCAACAGACATCTACGTTATTCCAGTTACGTTCAAGTTTTATATTTGAATGAAAATGTCTCGGGAAATGTGTTTTTCCTCGAATCCGCATTACAACTATCGGATTCTCCGGAAATCTATCCGTTGCTTATATCAAGTAAGTGTATATTTATATATAATCAATGACACGTTTAGTCAGTATCGAAAAAACATTCCTAGCGGCAAAGTGGTAATTCCCATTCCACAAAAAAATTGGTGTGAGTAATTCTAAACTTAAAAGTAATTTATAATTACCTATATACATATAAAATGCATCTGAATCTACTGTGATTATATATCTGGACAACCAATCCGTTTATAGAATAACGTGACGCAAAATGCGGTGATAAATGCAAACGAGACTTCAAGAACGAATCTAAGAATAAATCCCAGCGAATCCCATAAATTCTCTCAGAATAATCTGGGTAAATGTACATACAATTTTGATGCATCTCTCTCATCATACCTATATCATTAACGCCGGTGTTTCCTGGATATATATGTATTATCAACAACTCAGAAGGAAAACTAAAAAATTCAATTTAATAATATTTATTGGATTCCATGATAAAACCGTAATAATACATGACGTAGTAGACGTACTCATAGAAATATTCCCAGGGCGGGGTAAAATCTAATTTGTTTTCACAGGAACAAACATTTGATCAGAGAGACACTCATTGCTCTTTAAAGTTTGAAATTGATCCCTAATATAAATTTCAATAGAATACCAATCTCAAAAACGTTCGTAAAAAAGAGTGGTATTGTATTTTCAATAAAAAAATTCCTTTGAGGTAAAGTGCTTTCGTCTTCCACAGTTGAGTATTGTATACCACTGGTCTCCGATTCAAATTAGAAAGTACTTTCATAGCAATTTTTTTCAACTGGATGTCAAATGACATCCAGTTGGAAGTCGCAGTTAAATTATTGTGATTGCAAAGCAATTTTTCCCATTTTTTTCGTTGAACATAAACTGTGAAATAGTTCGCGAATTTAAGAGATTTTGTATATAGGAGCATAGTCTGTGAATATGAGAAATTTCTAAATAGATAAATTGTACATAATCATGAATTTGTTGTTCAATAAAACCTGTTAAACCTAAATTAGGTCCCATATCCCTGTACAGTTTATGCTGCATAATGCCTCACCAATCAATGATATAGTCGTTTCAGATACCATTAAAAAAATCTAGGCATTTTATTTAGGCTATGTTATCATCTATTATAATCTTTGAACTCGCCAAATTATATAGAAAGTAAACAATTTCTAGAAAAATAGATTCTGCAGTAATTTCAGATTTTCAAATGTCATATATGTTATCTCATTGAACAATTTTTTATTTCTCGTATGAATTGAATATTTGGGATAATTTGAAAACTATTGAACTGGCAAAAATCGGATTTTGATAATTTATAAAACCTTTCCTAATTTTTTTATTTTTCTAATAGTACAGAATTCCATATACTTATGTTTCTTTCGTATCCATATTGGAATTTTCCTCGGAATTATCTACTTCCCCTTACAGAAGGAACATTCACAATAGAAACTGAAACTAATTATTATTTTCAGAGAACGCTCAAACTGGGCATTTGGTTTCGAGTGAAAAAGCTTGTTTTCACTTCTTGTATGCATCATTTATTTTTTCAGATTCATTCACTCACAATTCATTTACATTCACTCAAATATTCGATACTGGCGAAAAAACATCTCAATGACATTTCAAAAATTGCCTGGAAAACTTCATCTTCATGACGAAAATCATTCAGGCATCTTCAAAATTTAATTTAGATAGTTAGATACTCTGCTCATAGTTATAGCAATTAGATTTCTGCGAGTATTTCTGTGAAGAGAACATTAAAAATGAAAAATTCAATTATATTAGGTAGATTAACGGTTGAACTATCAGAGTGCATAGTGAAGAAGTTCAGTGATAGGAAAAATCAATATACTTTTGAGTATATTGTTCAAATTTCACACATAATGTAATACTTTCATGAAAAAGAAACTATGAAAGAAATTACAGTCTGTGCCTAAACTAACATTTCAACTATAAGTTAGAAATTTGATAATGGGGAAAAAAACTGTTGGTATCTTCCGGTTTCTCACCCTGAGAAGAAAGACAATTTTGAAAATAAATTAGTTCACTACTCACTTCACTAATAGTGGAATTAAAAAGCTTAGAAGAAGATTAAAATCACTACATAAGTTAAGTTATGAGTAATTTCTAACAAAAAGTTAACTAGCTTAATAGTTGAGTAAATCAAAATCCGAATATTAAAAAACTCAAAGGACTCTTAAGAATTCAAAATGTTGGAAAATGTGATTTTTCTTTCTGTTTGACGAAAAAACTTGTATTGAATATTTTTGGGTACTTCCAGCTTCATCTTTTGACGAATGTCACTTCATTTGATAGACAAAATTCATTAACACCACTTAGTTACTACTAACTGAACGTTTTCGTCTGAAATTTATACCAACATTGGTACTTCACGAAAAAATATTTCGGTCAATGAAGTGAGGAACATTTGAAAGTCAACTATAGAGTCAAGCTAACAGAATGTACGGATTTAAGTAATGACAAGATAGTATTAATGAGAATTGTAGTCCAAACTGTTCAATCCTAATTTCTGAGGGGTGAATTCAGCGAACTCAAAGTCATGCTAAAAAATAGGTATCTCAGTTAAATGTAGAATACAAAATATTTCCAATATTGTAGCCTAAAAATAATTATGAGAATAACTACTAAATTCACCTCTTTAGCCAAAGAATAACTTTTATTATTATTACCTGAAAAAAGGTTGGTTGGGTAACAGGATCAATTTTTTCTAAAAAAAACAATTGTTTTCTTGCCGACGTTTCGAATTCAATTAAATTCTTCTTCAGGGCCCGATAAGTAGTTTCTTCGTGTTAATATTACTATTTCAAAAACCATTAAAATGTATCTAATATTCTAATATGTATACGTCAGCAAGAAAACAATGTTTTAAAAAAAATGTATCCTGTTACCTAACCAACCTTTCATCACTAAACATGACAAGTAATGATTTACTTGTAGACAAATTTCTGTTACCTTCGGTATCATTCATTGCAATTTTACGAAAAATCTTATGTTCTTAATGATCTGTTTTTTTAAATAAAATCTAGTCCAAGTTACTTATAATTTAACTTTATATAAATAAGTGAAAAAATACCTCATGAAACTCGTCAGTGATAATCTATGATTCAGCAATAACGTAGGCTGAATATGATGTGCACAAAACCATTCATGTTATGAATATATCTATGATGAAAAATCGTTAAGTGGCCGAAAACCAGCGAAATCACCCTACTTAATGGGCTTCTTTATGGACAATTTTTCATGCCTTGGTTACATTATTGCAATTCTCATTGGTGATATAATTTTTAAAATTAGGAAGTTTTCAATTTTATCCATTACAAAGAAAATCGAATATATTCTCTGTATACCACCTATTATAGACGAACACACTTTATATTGTTATAGATGAGAACTCTTTCATAGATGCTTGAGGAAACGCTTCAATTTAAGTAACCATCAATCGATAATCTCTAATAGTCTGGAGAGGAACCACAATGAAACAATGAAGTTTCAATATAAGTAGGTATATTCAAAACCAATTTCGGGTTGGAACAATTTCGAAAGGAAAATAAATTACCCTCATTTTTTTATATTCTTTTGCGTCTGAACGATTTCAACCACTATAAACGAATGAAACATGGGATTTAAGTCGGAGCATCCATGCACTGTAACTAATCCTCAAAGGCACTAACTATAACCAACGCTCCCTCTCCACCAACACAGAGCACATCACATAATCACCTGTTATTCGACGAAAGTAAACACATATTCAGAATTTACACAAACACCAAACCGTCAGCTTTAACATAACACAACTAAAACTGCACTTAGGTAATTTCCAAATAAAAGTTACATTGTTTAAAACTAAAACACACGCCAGCCGAGCGCTCACGCGGTCTCTCCGACAAATTTCGAAAATATACTGGCAGGCAAAGGGGCCAGAATTGTAAGGTTAGAGACCTACACGAGATTCTAGTTCCAGACCCATTTACAACACACAATAATACTACGGTCGGTCGGCCGCACTTTAAGTGTGCCTTTAGGCATTTCAGTGGCGTTCAAGGCCTATGCAGTTCGTGGACGGTCTCTGTATTGGCAGCTCGGAATGAATTATCACAAACTTACGTCGGTTTCCAACATAAATCAGTGGATCTATGAATTATTTTTTGAAATATACGTCGATTTTACGTTTCAATTTGTGATTTGAAAATGTATCGTTTCAATAATATTTCAATGTAGGTGTCAAAAGCTTCAACTAAGTTGATGAAAAGAAAATTTAGTTTTTACTGTTTTATTAGCACTGTCTGAAAATTTTACCGGGAGTTTTGAAAATGGACGATTTATAGATTTATTTGTGCTCTTTCCGAATTTCAACATATCTTTGTTACTGGCAACTCCAATTTAGAAAAATCAAGCCTAAAAGCAGTTTTCTGACAATACCTTCGTTTATATGACTCATTTTACGATAAAAACATTTATATACCAAATTGAACTAGAGAAAATTTTCTACAAATATATGTAATAATTTAAATACAAATGGTATATTTTTTGGGGGAGATTACTTTTTGGGAAAGAAAGTTTTTGGCCTTCTGCTTCTGGTAATTGTTTTCGTAAATTCAATAGTTTTGGCGTACGATAGCAAACCATTATACATCCACGCCAATATCTGACATTGAATTTTAACAGGTTACATTTGTGAATTCTATACAGAACTTGATGAGAAAACTTGAGAATGAACTGGTTGAATTCGAGCAATGTGAAGCTACAGCTAAATTAATGGTGCAACATTTCAAATGTTTCTAACTTGATGCAGATTTTACTTGTTGCTCAAGAACTTGGTGCAAGGCAGATTCCTAAAATATCTTGCACTCCTTGCTGAGGGTGCTGGTATTTGTAATATCATTGGCATCAGCGATATCTATACGACTTCCACATGATTGCGGCAAAACTGATATTCCCATCGCGGATGGTAAGGAAAAAATGTTGGTCTGCGACATTTCGATCGATACTAAAGACTTGCAGCAACTGGTCTATCAAGCATAGCGAAGCGAAGGGAAATACAACGCGTTTTTACTCTACCCCAAGGTAGTGTGGAAATGAGTTTTTCGTTCGTACGCCAAAACTATTGATTTTACAAAAAAAAATTGTTGTATAAATTATAGAAAATTTCGTATATAAATGTTTCTATTGAGAGAAGATATTGTCAAAAAACTGTTTTAGGTGCCTTTTTTTAATGTGGTGCCAAATACGTGGTGACAACGTTGAATTTCGGAAAGAACACCGAAATTCATAAAATTACCCGTTTTCAAAACTCCATGAAAACTTTACAGGTACCTAAAACGAGCAAATCACCGGACTATATACACATATAATGTAAATTTAACAAGTATAGATAGTGAAATACCAACGAAAATACAAATAAACCTTCACCCAAAGTAAACAAGGATAAAAATAAATGAAGTCAAATTCGAAATAGGAGTGACTTATAGATAAAGTAAGAGTTCATTATTTATATACTTTTTCACAAAGTATCGAATTTCAGGGTGTATCTTTAATTCAATTTCTTATTTACCTACAGGAATATATCCCGAATATATTGCCTACCAAACTATGTTCAATTGTTCATGGCTGAATTATTATTTTTTTACCATTTTTCTCCTACTTCTTTATCAAACAAATGTTATTCAAATTAACAGTTTAAAACATAAGGAATATGCCTAAAAGTTATTATCTACTTATGGTTTCCGGGCAAGCAGGTATACACAGGTAATAAACAATTGAAATATATAGAAAAATGAAGATAATTCAATTACAAACGCGATATACTGTTGCGCGAGAGAGAATGATGAGTGATATATTTAGTGCAATAAAGGAGGACGTTACATAGCAGCTGCGACATGTCCGTTGAATGGAAGCGATTTTTACAAGCGATTGAGAGAGACAGCATTTCTCAATTGCCAGGAATTATTTTGGAGTAACTATGACTAGCAGGTACTACATATTATCACAATGTTTTTCAGAAGTTATAAAAATGTGTGAAAATTGTTTTTTTGTGTAATCCACCAAAATCTGTCGTGTAAAGTCGTGAATGTCTTCAATATTTTCAAGTACTGTTTTTCTTTGCTTCTTCTCAACAGGAACGAATGGAAAATATGTTACTAAAAGGAAAAAATATTCATCGCTATCACATAATTTTGACGGATTTTTTGCATGCAACTGTTATGCTACGTTATTATTTATGGCAATGACACAACAACGGAAAAGTTGGTGGAGGAAGTGATTCAGCACACTTTATGACTGAAGATTTCTCATGTTCTGGGTAGGTTATATCAACAACTTCTCGAGTATCATGCCTATTTGCAGTTTCGTCAACCATGTAGCGTTGCAGAACCAGCCCAATCACAATTAAAAAAAATCTCACGAGAAAAATATCTGATTGAAGTAAGGTTCGAACCTACGATCTTTGAATCGTGAGACGGGCACCAGAAATATACGGTGGGTTCCACATGTTAAACAATATTTCACTTTTTTAGGCTCTGTTTTCATCTTTACTCTGTCAATCTAAGCATCAGAGTGCTCCAAAATAGTATCATGCCTAATGCACGTGATCTTCCAGACAAGGCTGCTAGTACAGAGTCGCACTAAGGAACGACAGATTTTTTTAATAATATGCGGCTGGGCATGTGATAATTTTTTAGGTGGCGTGTAGGGATACAACCTACCAGTTTCTTCAGCCGTATTAGTACTTGACATTTTGAAAATTCTAACTTTAAAATATCGTATATGTACACACCACAGGCGTTAAAATATAACTGATCACTCCGACACTGTAACATGAATTCCGCCAGCCGATTGCAGTTCAATATGATTGGGCAGCGTAAAAAGGCTTGTTTATTTTTCCCAATAGATGCAAATGTGCATGGTGATCACGCTTTCATCACGCATCTATATATTTTTTGGGTTACTTTGTTGTATGGATATAGTTTGGCTGTTTGCAGCCAAACTATATCCATCTCGTTTATCTTTGATATTCGTGATCAGTTTTCTTTCGATCCTTCAGATGGAAGCTTCGTAAAGGGAGGGAGATGTCATCTCCTTTACTTCATCCGGCTTGTCAGTTGAGTCCAGTAATGCATTCGTGGTTAGGCCTTCGCAACACTGATGGAAACTTGGCGGGTCGAAACTGCGCTGTCTGGTGTTGGANTTGAGAAGCAGCCTTATTGAATAATTTCTACTTTAGAATAGAAATTTCATTGTATGTATTTGTTTTGATTTTCAATCAATTCCAGAAAGCAAATATTTTCACAAATCAACATACTAATTTTTGAAATATATACTTGTGCACAACTTATCGCAGGAAAACATATGTATGAACAGTTGTACCCTCAAAGGGTATCTAATTTTAATATTTACTTTCTTTTAGGTCAGAACAATTAAAAAAGCTAATCATTTTTCAATACCATTCCTATCATGGTTAGCCAGAGCACCCTAACAAACTGGTGAATTCCTTCCAAATTTAAAGTCAAAATCTATAGATAAAACCCGAAATTTAGCTTCTACGCTTCTGCGCAATCATATTTGGAAAAGAACAAGTCACCATATGAAAACAACTAACCTTTCGAAATCCAAAAGTCTGAGATGGACAAGCACAAAAACTGTTACCGTAATGCCTATTCTAGGCGGCTAATTGGGTATGCAATGAATATCATTAGCATTAGGGATAAGTTCTACTGCGATAAAAATGTATTTTGGTAGTTTTATACTCGTTATCTTTTTAATTTCATATTTATTCAATTTGAAACTAACAAGGCGTGCCGGTAACACTAGATTATTAACGATAAGTTCGTAGTTCACCTTAATTACCGGCGTGAACTATAAAAAAAAAGTATTATGAAAAAATGAGACATACTTTCAGATATCGACGATTTGCTGATAAATAAATGTAGAATAATTGAAAATGATGTTTTAATTGTTTTAAAATCTCAATTTGCGCTCAGGTGACGTAGAAAATTGACGACAAAATTATTTTTATTCGTGGTGTCAATTCAACACCGGGTGAAAACATATTCAGTCTTTCTTCAAATATGTTTTCTCAACACAAGACGATATTTTTGTTCAAATGAACACGTTGTAGAATATGCGAGTATAAAAGATACTTTTGAGTATATGTTTAAAGTTAACTGATAGCCTGGGAATGCTATAAAGAACTGAAAAAAGTATTGTGAAAAAATAGATCGACTCATTCCTAGGTGTCCAAGATACTCGGGAATCACATAAAAGGAAAAAGCTGACTAGTTTGCTAGACAGGGATCCTCAACTTCATATACTACATACTACCTGGGCTGAAAAGTCTCGAACTTAACACATCAATGACGCTAGTATCAGTGCATCCCCGTTTTTTCAGTTAGTAATAACCTTCAAAAGGAAGCTGTTGAAATCTCATGATATTCCACTCATAAGTTTACGAGTTATTGTGCTAAGAATGACACTACTTTGGTTATTTTCAAAACAATTGATCAAAAATATTTTCGTGTTTCAATTTGACACTGCTTCTTGATGGAAAAAATACCATTCAAGCGAAGCAATGGCTTGAAAAGTATTATAAGGACTCCGCTCCATCAGAAACAACAATTAAATGTTGGTTTGCTGACTTCAAACGTGGTCGTAGGACACCGATGGTGCAGAACGCAGTGGACGTCCAAACGAGACACACCAGAAAACATATAAAACCGTTGTGAATAATCAAAAAGTTAGGTTGTGTGAGTTTGCTAACATTGTAAAAATTTCAAAAGAACGTGTTGGCTTTATATTGCATTATCATTTGACTATGAGAAACTTCTGTTCAGAGTTGGTGCCGCGCGAGCTCACTGTTGACCAAAAACAAGAACAAACCGAAATTT